GGGAGGTGGTCTCAGAGAGGGTGAGGAAATGCGTTGAGCAGCAGTCTGACATGCTATATGAAAGCGAGGTCAGGAAACTAGGAAGATCTATCAGGGAGTTTGTGCCCACCGCATCAGCTCTGAAGATGCTTAGGGGGCTGCAAGGCTGCCGAAATCTCTGGGGACTTATTTCAGGACAGAGCCGGCTGCGATACTGCCGAAGCCGAGTTGATGGGGGAAGTGATGAATGTCCGAACTGCGACGCTCAAGTCACGAGGATGTGAGACATTTTTTGTACGAGTGCGAGCGATGAAGAGCCAACGGGAGGCATTAATTCGAGAAGTGAACCTGCGAGGGCTAACGTGGCCTCCCCAGGGGGAGACTGTCATCAGAAGCCGGGATCTGGCGCTGGTACTCGAAGGGTTTCTGCGAAGGACTGGAAGGGTCTTCAGAGACTAATGCCGCCTGCCCAACGCCGAGGATGAGTCATCTTGAATGACCGTATGGGAGAAATACGGGACGAAATCGAACTCAACGGAGCGGAGACTAACGAGCCGCAGAAGGGCGGCTACAGAAGGGATCATGTTGGCGGCAAATGGCCAGAGAATGGCCGTGCCGCGTCCAAGATTGAGAAGAAGAAGAAGAAGAAGAGGCCCGTAATCACTTATCAGTTATCAGTCAGTAGATCCATACTCATTCAGTCAATCATCCCGTTGATTACTCATTTGGTAGGCTGTCCATGTCATTTTCGTCTTTTATGGCTGTCGGTCGAAGTGTGCGTAGTAGCAATTAGTACTCTCCTTCGACGGGTGTGCCTCTGGTAAGCGACATTTTCTATTTATAGAGCATCGGAGACAGGACGATGGCGTTCGACGATCTGGCTGATCGCCACCCACTACGGTAAATGCTGTGTACTTCGTTCTCCACGAGCATCTATTTCACCTGAGAAGGTTTGTCTTTCGAGAGAGCCTCAGTCCACCTTGTGCCACCATTACCCTCCGGGATGTTTACTGGTACCTCCGGGTTGCCAGCGGTGCGCAAGCCTGAACTACCCGCCTACAGGAGGGTTCGTCATTATTACCTTTCTGTCGGGGTGTGACCGGTGACTTGAGCAGGATCCT